AAAAGTTAAAGTAAATTGATGTTTCACGTCTTCTGTACTATCTGACATTTTCAATTATCTGACCATCCTTAGGTCCCGTTTTGGGTCGGATAATCGGGACTCTACTGTATATTACATAATTTTAAAGTCTTCCGTCCCTCGTCTCTTTTATTAAAATGGACTTCGTAGTCGTGAGTTCGTAAAATCGCTTTGTAGAGTAAAGAATCCGGGGTAGGAATATTCCAAATGAATATGCACATCCAATTGCCTGGACTACAGATGGAACGACGAAGCGGGAAATTCCGATGACCAAGAAATCTGCAAGCATCGTGTCGCCCAATGTAAACAATACAAAGACGTCAATGCCGACCAGCCTACGCTCGCGGGCACCATTGTGCCCTCAGAAGGGTTTTGGTGTGTCGGCGAAATTTTTTGAATACTAGGAAGTTTTAATGTCTGATTTTTAATTGTCCACGAATTCGTCACATTGTAGCGATATTCCCTCTTGAGTAAGTTGGTACAGCTGATGCGAGAACACAATCGTAATCTAATTATTCAAATTAAAGTATTTTTTTATTTCATACGGTGATCGCTATAAATTATAAGCTGCCCCTAGTTGCCCGTCACCCAGAAAAATTTTAGCAATCCTTGGGGCAGGTTATCCATGACCGTTTCCCCTGTTGTTAAGTCTCCGAAAGAGGAAGATGGTTCGATTCATTTGTCACAGACAAAATACAATTTTGGCCCAACCCGAATACTTTGTCTCCACCTTTCCTAAATTCTCCAATAATTTTTTGGAATATCTGACCGGAATCCTAAGTTGGCACTTTCATAGTACCTCCCACGAAACAATCTCGCTCACATTTACATATACATCATTGCACTTATATCATTGTTTGGAAGTAGGCAACTATTTTCAAACATGCATCACTTCAAACGAAAACTCAGGAACAGATTAACAAAGATTTTTTGAATTAAGAAGTGTCTCCCTTAACATCAAAGTGGTAATCAGTGACCTAATTAAAGAAAAAATGCAAGATGTTATACTAACGGAGTAATTTAAAACCGAATATGGCTGTATTCTGTGATGTTGCACCGTGTACTCTGGCGAATACTGACCGATGTTTCAGACGTAATTCCTCCCATCACCAGGATAATCAGTTATTCGCCCTGATGATGATGGCAGTAAATATCTCTAAAATGTCGGTTAATATCTACCAGACTACATGGTGCAACATCCAAGAACACATCCACCTTCTATTCAACGCCGTGAGAAGAAGAAACGTAGCCTAGTTTAAAATTGTCTAAAATATTAACGCATTTAATTGATTGTTATAATTAATTACATACACCGCATTTTACATCACCTAGTTCCAAACTTCGAAGTGAAGAATCGGCTATTAATATAAAATGCAGATATAACTGTGATCTGCGACTTCTTGAAACGGTCTCTCGATATGGTGGATGGGTATTTTTAACGAAATAAAAGGTAAAATGTTATGCGTAGGTCACAGACCTACACGTAGAGTGATACAATTAGCTGCCCAACAGCTTATCTGTATACGAAGTATATTAAAGAAATGAACACCAAGTCCAATGAGAGATGCAAAGTCCCAAAGAACGAATTCGAAAAACGGTATGTACTTCAGAGCGGAGTATATATCTTTCCACTCTTGTTAAATCGCGCTGGACGGTCTTTGGCTGAAAGTGAAAACACGTGCAGTAATTTCAAACTTGTCAAGGTTGGCAATACTTCGTCAATGTGACCCGTGAAAGTCATGCTGCACTTCTGCAATAAATAAATGTCAAACGAATGCAAACATCTTAGCAGCATGTGCACTACATGGCAGACATCACCTCATTTCCATGTATCAATATGAAACACCGAGGAGAGAAGTTCAGGCGGTAACGTGTCTGATTATCCAACATTTTCTCAACTGCACGGGTCATATAGAAGATAACAGTCGTAACTTATTTTAAAATACCTGGACACACCGACGTAAACTACGAAACGCCTCAATCAGGACAGGTCTACTATTGCAATCACCAATCTATATGCGTTAAGTTGGATTTAGTGGCTGTGCAGGAGGTCAGATGGTACAAGGCTGGCACTGAACCATCTTCCCAAACAAAATGAAATACGAACAATCATTTAGGCAGAGGGTTTTCGACACGTAAGGGAATGAGGTCGCCAAAAGATGGCAAGTGATATGATGTATGATGTGATATTATCAGTCTGATTGTGTGCTCGACGTGAAGATAAAATATGTAACACAAAGAATACAAAGAACTGTGGAGAATATTCAACCAACTTCCTGCATACCACACGCAGATTCTGACAGGAGATGTCAATTTGCTAAAACGGAAAGAATATATTTTAAAATATACAAATTAAAACAAACTTTTAAATTAAATTACTAATGATAACGGTTTCAGATGAGCAGTAAACGTCGTCACATCAGTAAATTTAATTGTCAAGAGTACGACATTCCCACATCGGAATGCTTCTTATTATCTCCTGATGAGGAAAAAACAAGCAGATTGATTAAGTCTTGATAGATAAAAGACGGCACAGGAGCTGACTGTGAAATGTTGGCTGCAGAACTTACTAACAATTAAGGAAACGTTTAATAACAAGAAGCTAAATCATGTGGAAGCTATAAAACAATATTTAAGAATTAAATATCAAATGGGTTCCCAACTTTGGAAAAAGTGGTCGATAATGCCAACAACATTACAGACTTGGAAAAGCTGATATAACATTCATGAAGAAATTAAGAAAATATCTGATAAGGAAAATGAATCTTTATCATCCGTGCATGGTACTGCTAAGAATGGAGATTATCTAAATAACGTAAAATAAAGAAATGGTAGAACTTTCATGAACGGAATTATATCAAATGTGTGAAAAACCAATGTAATGAGCTTGTACCGTCAGCTACTAAATTAACATTGTATTAACGATAAAAATGACAGTAACATTTACCGAGGAATAGCGTTCTTACTGACTTCATACGAAATTCTAGTCATCATGCTTCTCGGTTAGCTCAATACTTCATTAAAAAAAAGTCGAGACCGTCGCCGTGAATTTAGATGTAACAATCCTGCTCCTGATCCCATATTCTGCATTCGTCAGATGCTGGAGATAAAATGAGAATACAATGGGCCAGTAGGCCAACATCACCTGTTTACAGACTTCAACAGACCATATGAATCAGTGGGAAGAGAGATGTACACTCGTCTCGGCCCGCAGACCGATCACCTTGTCGAGATTTTCGCGGACATCCTCAAATTAGGCCGTGCCCTTTCCAATTCATTAATTATCCTAACATTTGACGTCGTAGTCTGCGCTGTTGACATCGTCGTTAATAAACTATAAATTAAACAGTATACCCACAAAACTAGTAAGAAAATCCATAGTAAATTCTGTAAAGGTGAACATTTGTCTGATGAATTTCATATCTAGATTTATTTGAAACAAGTCACTTCTTTATTTTTAACCTTGCTTTACAATGTGCCTTTTATAAGCTATTAGCAAGATCCTAGAGAACCTGAAAATGCAGCAACTGACTGGCATGCATACGCTACTGGTCTGTGCTAAATTTGTTGGACGAACACAAAATCTAAACACAGAAACTGCACTAGACGTTGGTAAGGAGCTTGGTCCAGAAGCGAACAAAGATAAACAGCGTGTATGTCCATGTCTCGTCAGAACAACGCAAGACGAAGAGATCATTTAGATCCTTCACAAATCCTTCGAAAATGTGGCAAAGTTCAAGTATCTTGAAATGACAATTACAAATCAAAATTGTATTCATGAAGAAACTGAGAGAAAAGCAGATTATATTCGTCAAGTTTCTAGGGCGATCAGCCGTGTGAGACAAAAGCTACAATCCCGGGTTTGGAAGACTTTCTCTGACTCCACCAGGTAATGTGACGAGTGACCAACAAAAACCAGCCCAAAAGAAAGGGCGCAGTCCAGGGCGAAGCGCAATTCGACGTACCTTGCTCCGTTAAACACCAACGCATGCAACTGGAGAACAGTGCCTTGTAAAATGGGGATGCTCCCATGCTGGTAGGTTTTGTTGTATTGGCAGAAGGCCCTGGCTTGTTCAGGCTAAAGGGGGGTTTATATTATCGATGAATGTTTCCATCAACAAATGTTTCCTTGTGAAACTTGGTTGGATGAATGTCTGAGGCTTGAACCCAAAGAAGTTGGGATCAAACTAGCTGAAGGCCTCTGCGACTGAGGGTGTGCGAATCACTTTGACCGAACGCCCTAATTTGTAGTGTCACTCGTCACATCAACTCTGATGTCTGAAACGGTCTCAGAAACGCTGGATTTTAGCTCCATACTTACACACCCAAGCACTGATTGAGGGTCTTTCAGGAAAAGGTAATAAGAATATTTGTACCTAAGAGTGAGGAAATAATTGGAAACTGGAGAAAACTGCACAGCAGTCTTGTCAAGTAATATCACACGGAATTCTTAGTTGCTTCTGATAAGTGGTCGCCTTATTTAATCTTATGCCTTGTAACAAGTATGAAACACAACAATCTTGTTAGTAATCACTTTGCATTCTGACTCACTTCAGACAACTGGTCGCCGTATTTAATCTTTTGCAGTCAAACAAGTCTGAAATGCAGCAGACAGTCCTGTTAATAATATCTACGGAATTCTAATTACTTGAGACGGCCTTATGCCTTGTAACAAGTGTAAAACACAACAATATATAACAGCACACAAGACAGCTGACTGCATTATTTCTAGAACAAGTGTCAGATAGACCAAACAATCTTTTCAATAACATTCGAGGTACGGCTGGTCACCTGCTGTCTCTGTTAGCAACACGCGCCGATACGGAGCTATTTCTGTACAACGCCAGCAGTCACTACAACCGGCAGTGCGACCTATGTGCCAGTGTGTCACAACATACAGGCTGTCTCACACCTGCCGAAACGTCGTCGTGTTGTGAGAGATAACTTTCTGATAACTTTGAAATAACAAAGTAACAACTGACCTTGAGAGGCAGCATCTCCCGGTGACGTCACTACTACTACTACTGCTGCCACGAACAGACTGTGGGCCGGGAGGGGGCGAATAGAGCTTCAAGTGTAGCACCATCAGCGCCGCGCGCGGGTACGGAGTACACTATCGGACCGCATTCCTCTGTCCCTATAATCTGCACTGCAGAACAACAGACGCAGTATAAGAGTCTATAAATAGTATCTCGCCTCACCTCTCATATCATCTGATCTAAACATTTACAAGCTTGGTTCAAAACCTCAAAAATAACACATTGCATCTCCGCTACACGGAACAATTACCAATATTACACGTTTAAAAAATAAGACTCCTTTCTATCTTAAATGTGTTTACTAACCGTGTCGGTAATATGAAACATCTACGTTCTATAACCATTATGAATGTTTCAATTTAGTATTTAAACAGAAGAACTCACTTGAGTTTTTAAAACTCAGCATACAAAGTGTTGCTGTAGGATCTTACAGCCCAATAACTATGCGATTAAAATATACTAAACTGCAGAACAGGCTGTCTTGTATTTCCATGAAACTGGTCTCTCCTTCTAAGAAAATAACACAGACCGCGGGTGTTGGGGAACAAAGAGCTCAGAGAGAGCTAAGAAAACTGCATAATGAGGAGCTCCATAATTATTCTATTTGTTTAATATTGTTAACATTCTCAGATCAAACATGTTGAGATGGGTGAAGTGTAAAACTCACGCAGTAGATGAGAAATTCATATATATATATACTTAATTCGGAATCTCTCGAGGAAAGACAAGGAAAGGCAAAAGGGGAGAATAGTATTAAAATTAATCATAATGAAATCCGACTCATAGTGTGGACTTCACTGAACTGACTCAGAACAGGGCCCACTTGTGGGCTTCCGTGAACACAGTAATTTAGTCTATGAGAGAACGTAAAGTTAAAAAGTAAAGCTACACGCCATGTATGCGCTTGGGGGAAAAGGTGTATAATTCCTACTCATTCTTAACGTCCGTTCTAGATACCTGTGAATAGTTAGCGTCACTCCCCGGCCTTGCTTTACCCCCAGGAAAGGACTACGGTTTCCATTGGAAAAAAGGCTGGGTGGGCCTCAGAGCCGGTCTGGACGCAGAGGCAAGAGAAAAAAACCTCTGGTCCTGTCGGGGATCGAACCCCGGTTGTCCAGTCCGTAGTCTGTCACTATGCTCACTGAGCTAGTGGTGTTACAAAGTACAAGCTGATCATTCAGCAACCTTTTTGGGTTTCCGAACAAAGAATTTCCCCAGATATGAAGTTGTGGTTGCACTTCAGAACTGCTTACTTGCAGAGGGCCACCCAAAGACCCCCGCCCTGTAAGACCCCGATGGAACGTCGCTTATTAAAGAATACAGAAGAAAAGCCCCAATGATGGAAGCAGTAAGCAAGCAGCTCTGAAACGTCGGTCAATATCTACCAGACAACATCCCGCAAGACAGCCATCTTCAAGGTTGTAACATATACAAATTCGTTTCCTAATAACCTCCTATTATTCTGCTGGAAATAAAATTACTAGTAACGAAACATGAGGGTTTATCATCGTATTCGCTAGGTCGTACTATTAGACCTTACCACTTCAATAGTCATACATTCACACGCACTTTCTCTAAGATACTTTACAAATGTAACGTTCCATCTACGCTTAGGTCTCCCATGCTTCACTTTCCCTTTAGGTGCTCGGACAAAAATTATGGACTCATTTCTAATTACCCCCGTGCATGCTCCATGACCAACCCGTTTCAACTTTCTTTTAGCTCTGTTACGAGATGTTTCCTTCAGAGTTGGTATAAAAATCGCGTGAGTTTCATACCAGTGTTCCTCAACATTTCTGGTAAGGCAGACCCTCGCATCTCTTATACTTTTTGGTACCACGAACCCCTCCTCAGAATTATCTCATAAACGTTGAAAAATAGAATATGCACTACTTAAAAGTATAGATAAAAACATTGTTTCTTCTATCATGTTTTACTTCAGCGTGGAAATAAGAACTAAGGTCGGAAAAAGCTTAAAACAGCGTCAAAAGTTTCTTTACTCGACTCTTGGATACCTTAGGCACAACTTGCGGATCCCGGAGAAACATTGTTTTAGACCATTTCATAAACCGCTGTTTGGGACAACTACAACTTCTGCATTGCAGCACTTCTGCAGTCACGAACGCCGCAAGGCCGTCCAGTGCGAAGGTCTCCACTACCCGCTCACGTCAATGAGCGCCCCTCCCCCTGCCTTCATTCGCCCGTTGCACACACCCACACAAACACACACACACACACACTACCGCAGAAGTGACTGAGGTAAACGCAGCAACATAAATAAAATTGCTACGGAAGAGGGAATGAAGAACGAAAATATCACTACACAGCAGCAAAGAATTTCTGGAAACTGTCATGTAATTTATTCTACAAAACTAAACTGCCTTTACTCCCAGACCAGTACCGGGTCGGAGCTAGGGGAAAATGTAATGTGCTACTTCGTCAGGGGTGTCACACGTTTTAACCGATTAATAATTTTCCGTCATTACTATTTTAAATTCATAACACAAAATCTGGCTTTACATTCGGCATACATTTACCATTTAAATTGTCATTAAGTCACCTGTTTGAACAAGCAATCTTGTCCCTGTATGTAGGCTGACTGCGTTGTCCGTTTGGGAAGCGCCTAACCGACTTTCTCTAGGATAATATTTTAAATTGCATGTTTGTTAATAATTTAATTGTAAATTAATTTATATTCTTCGAGTAGAAGTATGATTCAAGTAACAGTTTTACTCAAACGCCCTGTTCTACTAAGGTCCTGAAGATTCCAGTTGAACCAACGCCGTCCAGCAGAAAAAGTAAGCAAATGGAGCCTTAAGTACGACCTGACGCCTGTTTGAGTTTAGGGTTCATCCTTTAGAACCCTGTTATTGAACTACACGTATCTGTAGGTCCCTTAACTCAATTGCATGCAGTAACTCAACTCGGTATGAACAGAATACCACTGAGGACGTTCCCATTTCGGGTCGTCTTAACTGTCGGTAATTAACAATTTCAATGTGAAGGCCAGGCGAACTTGCGAGGTGGCACCAACACCAGCGTCAATGACGTGGTAGTGTCGGTAAACATTTTTTTAAACAGGCCTATAGACTGTTAAGAATTTAGTCTTATACTTGATTATAAAGGGTTCTGACAAGGGATTATTGCAATCTGGGTTACTGATTACGGCTAGCTGTTTCTAGCGTAGCCAACAGAATAGGCACCTCCCTTCCTTACACATGGGGACGAAGACAGATCAGGACTTCGAAACGTTGCGTGCGTTTTTGAATACCAGACGATAGACAGAGGCCAAATACTCAGTAATCCAGTCTTGCAGTGCCTGCTCTGAGGAGCATGAAAAACGTCGAAATGCAAAGAACGCATGTTAAAAATATCTGTACTCCAGCACGGACAGCGCTTTTTTCAAACTTGTTCGAACTGCACAGGTAAAATAGCACCGGATGAGTTGGAAAGATAGTCTGATTAGCGGTAGTTGAGGACTTGAAAGGAGGCGCTTATAAACTTTTTTTAAATGACTGGCCTCAGGGAACTGAGGACAGTTCTTCATCCTCCTTCTTCCCGAATAAAAGTATTTTCAGTTAACGCTGCAACAATCTCCTCGCTGAGTAGGTAAGAATTTGTAAGGAGGCGATCGTCGCCTGTTTCAATGCACCATTTTAGCAGTCGAGTGGAGGGACTGAGGAAAATCGCAAATAATCCTAGCAGTATTGCCGGGCTCTAGGCCGAGAGCAGAACCCGGGACGAAGCAGGAGTGCTAACCACTGCGCTTGATATTTACCCAGGCATCTACTCTGCAGGATGAACCCCAAAGCTGCGAGATTCACTGCACAAAGTGGCTACTCGTAGGCTTCTATTGTCTCGCGTTTTCCGAGAATTTGTTTCGACCCTGAGTCACACTACAACTGCGTCATTTCCACTTTCTTCGACTCGTCGAGAATTAGTCAGCGCGTGACGGTGGGGATCATGCAGTTACTTTCTTCAGGATCTCTGATTTTATATAAATAGTCTTACACCTCACGCCGGCCAATCAACTGCCAGGCTGAATCCATGGCAGTAGAACCTGGAGATGCATAACTATTAAAACAAAAGTCTGGTCGTGTTCAAGATCAACATGGAGTTAAAATTCAGTTAAAATATTCACATTTGTGTGTCTAAGGTACGTTTTAATATTCACCTCCCATTTCCTTCTCGGATTTCCACTAAGCATTCGAAAAGTTCTCCTAATTCGCGACCCACTCGACTCGGGGGCATTGTTGAAATACACTATTGCAACAATGGAATCAACGGGAACCAAAGATAATTGTTGTAGGATTTGAGGTTTTCACGGCGGTGAGTCTGAAGATGACTGTCTTCTGGGTTTGTGCCGTGTAGTCTGGTAGAAGTTTAACGACGTTTCAGAGGTCCTTGCTGCCACCATCATCAGGGTGATACATCGCCCTAACGAATAAACGTCGGAAAACATGCCAGAAGAAAGCCATCTTCAAGGCAACTGTTGAAACACATTCTTGCAACAATTAGACCCGGGGTCATCGGTAACTTATAATAGCTTCGGATCATATTATCGCACTCCAATGATGACTTTATATATAACTGTTGCATTTATTCCTTGCGAAACTTCGAAGAAAGAGGCAGCGTTGAACACATCCACGTACGTCGGAAAATAATATTAAAATTAAACTTAGCTGTTGAAGATGTAAACTAAAATCATGTGACTCACGTTGTGTAAAATAAAATTCATTTTGCGGATTTTATAACAGGGATTTGCCTGACCACACAAACAGTTTTTACGAAAAGAATATGTACAAATGGAATTAGCTGATAAATCTGTTCCCATCTTGCGGTTAGTTCCTTTTCTTATGTAGGAATATTTGGACGGAAAAATGGGGACGTAGGAAAATAAAGAAAATAACGTTAACGTCGAGCGTCTGTGCTGTTCGCCTTTTACACAAAAGGCGAGAATATGAAGTACGATACGATGGGTAGGATATATAGCACGAACACAGGAATGAGAAATTAGTAAAAAAAATTTGGTCGAAACCCCTCACATATTGAACCATCAGTGTTACCAACCTCGATACTACCAAATTCAGAAAC